TCGTCACCAACACATGTACTTGACCACGTGTGCATTTTCCCCTTACACTGCATTTTCTTGAAGTCATGGTTGTTCATTCCTGTTTAGGCGGTTACCCTTGGCTACTTCCCAACAGACCCACGAGAGGAAATGTCGGGCTCGCATATTGTGCTGTCGGCCACGGCGAACCCGTTGTTGTCGATCGCTCGAAAGCAACAACAGGTGAGGAAGGTGGTCGGAGATTAGTGTTGGAGTATTTGTTTGGTATTCTCGACTGAGCTCGGAAGTTTCCTCGCTAATTATAGGAGTTTACAGACGCATCTAAGGTGAAGTGTACAAAAACCAGCGAGAAATTCTGGAAATTTCTTACATTGTCACTAACATGTGTAGTTGACATATTGTCACTAACATATGTAGTTGACCATATGCATTATATTCCCATATTGTCAGTGACATGTGTGGCTGACCATATGCATTGCATTTTTCCACACTGCTGTACTGTATCAGGACGTGACCCCAGGAGCTGAGCCACGAGCTCTACTAGCACACGTCCAACGGTGGCTTGAGAAGCTCCGTTCGACTCACTCTGGGTGTGTCGTCGAAGGCAGCATGGCGCTTGGCACTGACCTGGATGGCCGTAGTGTTCTGGTAAGTCTTGACGACCATGTGATGAGGGAACTCGTGGAACACTATGTGAGACCTTATGATATTATGTACAGTGTGAGCAACAATCAAACCGTTATTATGTAAAGTAATATTTTCAATTTTCGTGAGTTCGAAAGTCAACTTTGAGTAATATCAACATGATAACAATGTGAATCGATTGACACCAACGTTTTAGAAGCGTTCCGTAGTCTATATTTGTATTACTCTCGAATTGAAGAAAGCCATCTCGAAAATCTAGATATGCTTAACTGTTTGCTTCGCACTGTAGAACTACACGATATATCGCGATATGGTGGACGCGCTTTTCGGGAAATGTTGTATTTATTTATGAATATATGCACGAAGTGATTTTGCATCAGTTCACATCTGCATCCTCACGTTTTTCTAAAGTGCACTGGGTCAAACTCCAGTGAGCAGCGAGCGCTTTTCAGTAGCTGTGCACATGCGTACGGCTAGTTCATTATGGTCGTTTGCTAATGGATCGTTATAGTCTTAGTTGAAGCTTGATCCATAGTGGATCGAATGAGAGGGATCTCATTCTCAGGCGTGCCGTTATGTAGCGCAGCCGCTGACACCTCCAGGGGAGGTTACGTCTCTTGACGACCCCCATGCCATCGAGCGCTCTGCTAGGTTCGTCAGCATGGTAGGTGTTTCAGTGTTGGGGGAATATGTGTTCGCTTCTCGCAGCTGAGTTTACACATGAATTCAGGTAGAAGTAGGCAATAAGCACTCGCCGGAATTTTCCTTGTAATTTTCATATTGTCACCGACATATGTAGTTGAAATTGTGCATATTTTTCCACGCTGCGGTACACAATCCGCTCCTGTCCGAACTGGTACAGAACTCACCTGGTCACATTGGGCTTATGAGAGCGGTCGATATGTATTTCATAATGCATATCATAGCATCGCTCCGCCAGAGTTTTATACATTTGTCGTAGCGTAAGTTATGAAACTGTAAGTGTTCTTAACAATCTACGACCCTTTACCATAATTCATAGCGCTTTGCGCACGCGTGCATTTGGGATTGTTTCAGATACCATTTCTCACCGATGACCAGATATTTGCTTCCCTCTCGGGCGGAGCGAAGTTGAATCTTGACGTGTGGTGTACTCCACAGAACTTCATCGATATTCGGGCAGGTAAGAAGTTCACCTCGGTTAGTGATTGTGTGGGAGGAATTTATGTTCGTTTTCTTCGGCTGAGCTCAGGAGTTTCCTCACTAATCATACAAATTTACATACATGAGAATCTACCTGAAAATTTCCTCATTATTTTCATATTGTCATCAACGCATGTGTTTTCCCTCTCAGGCGACTGGGAAGAACACGCTACTTTACTGTGTTGCTACTTCAAGAAGATCGATGCTCATAGACGCCTGCGAAACCCGGATTATCCCGTCATCGACTCCTTCTGTATGGCTTGTTACTACATTGCTGATGAAAGAGCGATGTAAGGCGATATGTGCTGGTGGTCAACAGCTCTGCGTGTTAAGGTTCGTGTTGAGACGAGATACATCATCGGGTCACTGTGAGGTGTGGAATCCCGCCAGTGGGGAGTGTTACTTCGTGCCCAACAGTAACAGGCCATATGCTGGCACTAGTCTGAAGGGCACCTTTCGGTACTGGGGCTTGCCTGTCAATGACTGATAAAACATAATAAAACTAATGTGCATCGATGGTAGCCAGAGAGTTGTCGGCGTTGGTTCCAGCACTCACACGCTCTCCATAAAGATTCGCAGAACGCCATTACATCTGTTACTATCGACACTGAGGAATGGGTTCCTCTAGAATATGGTTCTGTTGAATCCAGGCGGACTAGTTAGGTATGCAAGCCGTTAACATAGTAACAAATGTGATAGTTTCCTATGAATATTGAAAAAAGTGTATGAGTCGCACGCCGACAACACTGCGAGCTCCACAATAATCTTTGCTAAGCGAAATGAGAAATCTCTGCTAGTGCGCAGTGATCCCCCATCCCCCAACAAGTCACATTTCCAGGGGGATCATGAAGGGTTCAGCGGTCGACGATGTCAAGCATAAGGCGACGCCCTATTGTCCCGTTCGCCGAGTCCTGACCGTCTTCAATGAGGCAAACGTATGGTTTTATAGGAAGCAGGAGACCGGCAACTCAGTAGAGAAGCATGTGAGCTTCACGTGTTGTACAGTGCGAAGCAAACAGTTATGCATAGCTAGGTTTTCGAGATGGCTTCCTTCTAGAACGAATATAAACTGCGGAATACTTCTGAAACGTTGGTGTCAATCGATTCACATTGTTATCATGTTGATATTACTCAAAGTTGACTTTCGAACTCTCAAAAATTGAGGGCGGCGAAAACACTACTTTGCATAATAACGGTTTGGTTCACGCTTTACATTTTCGATAGAGCCATGGCTTGATAGATATCAGTGTACGAAGTGAACTGGGATGTCTCCAGCAAAGAGGACTGGGGTCCGCTACTACCAGAAGATGCAAAAGAGGCGCTGCTGGAGACCAACACCATCGTGCCCATTCAGGCAGGCTGGGCACATGTCCGCAACGATGCATGAGCTCTCAGGGCGATGATCTGAAGTATAGCAACATTCTGAAGAAGGATATTGACATGCTACAGGCCAGTTTACAGTCGCGTCTCGAGAGCAACATACGGCAATATCGGAGTTCGATTGGCACCGGTGAGGCTGTCAAGAGCCTGTCTCTTTCCGGAAGCTCGGCTAGGTCTGACTAGACTGGACTCGAGCCTCCGCAATGCTTTGTTGGAAATATGTCTGCAATTTGAGAAGCACGCTCAAACTCATCGAGTGTCGGGCAATGAATCAGTCTTCCCTCTCAAGGCGAAAGAGGTGAGTTCAGCTGCGGTCGGGTCTGTCTGATTCGTGTGTTGGTGGAAGGTCCCGGAGATCACAAGAGCAAGCTTAGAGCAATCAATGGGGACTTTGGATCAACTCGTCGGTGATGCCCGCGTGTTCGGAGTCCCCATTAACGTGACCTTCACTGATGCAGCCACATTATGGCAAAAGGTGAGATGCACGGAGGTTGGTCGCTGATGGTTCGTCCCGTAGGTCGTCAATACTGGCGTCCTCGATCCTGTGGCTCAGTCCTGCGACTTCGCGGTAGCCGTCCGTATATTCAGCTATCCAGTCGATGTCCTTAGTGTGTGGGCTTTCGTTGTGTGTTGTGCTAGAGATTGATATCATGTAGCATGTGTGATGACGTTGGGTTCCAAGTTGAAGCGTTTGGTTTGAAGTTGGCGCGATGTTGGTGAAGTCATGGTGAGGAATGTTCGTTCGATCAAGACATCAGTTCGCGGTTAATTACCTTTTATAGTAGTGGTATCTCTTTGGAAGACCTATTGAGATATTTTCGTTAATTTTTCATCGTTGTTTCTTCCTGAATACCACAATTTTCTGCTCTGTCGAGGCTTTCTTACCGCCCTGTGGGCCACTGAATGATTTACAGAAGTGGTAACGTTGAAAGCGATAACGGAGTGATCATCACTACGTACCTAACTTGAGCATTGACAATGCTGCATTGTCACGGATGAGTGAATTCTACACGGAACTACCTCATTTCTTGCTAGTGCTCATGTGAGAAACCGTAGCGGAACAATGTACTGGAACCGAGAATCGAACTCGGGACCTACTGCGTGTTAGGCAGTCGGCATAACTAACTAGATGTCACGAAAGTTTAAATGATTAGGGATTAACGCAAAGTACAAGACTTTGTGGAAGCTTATTTAACAGAATAAATGAATGTAGAAAGTTCCCTAGCGCTGAGATTCGCATACGGCTACTTGATGTCATTTGTGTCCGCCTTTTGAGCCGTTCGGATCATTATTATCAGATTGCCATCACCAACTGGAGGATTCTCCTCCTCTCCACCACCTACTGATGATGCCGATGCTAGTCTAGACGATACATCAATAGAACTTGCATCGAACTTCAAATTTTGTTCTTCAGCAAGTTGGACTCCAATAGCAATATTGTTAGTACTCATCACACTTGCTGGGGGGCGGGTCGCACAGTCTGAAGGATTATACTTGCCCTGAATGTGCAGGACTACAGAGCCTAATGGAGTCAAAAAGTCGTAGATCTTAGCAAGCCTATTCAACTCATATTCCCCAAGACTAAGTCGACCATGAGAATTTTTCTCATAGGCTCGTAACCGATGGATTGTTATTTCCGAATCCGTAAAGAATCTCACTTTGACATCCTTCCATTTCTGGGGAATGCCATTGAGGAACTTCTTGAGCATAACTGTACCCCTATACAAGGAATCAAGTTCCTTAGAGGGTATAGTTCCTCTGGGATGAGTAGGATGAACTCCAACAGTCCCAAGTAGACGATTATATGGCGTTGAAGTAGAATTACACCTTAGATCACAACACCATAGTAGCTCACTGCTATCACAAAATAAATCCAGCTCGTTGAACTCACAGCGTCTAGGTCATTTTACCGTATTATCGTCATCACTGACATTCTCGGCCCGCGCCTCAACAGCAGAGAAGATAGAGGAAACTGATGCTTCGGAAGCATTGCTTCCCATGGCTTAACCTCCAAGCCAATCTCTCTCACCAATACTCGAGAAGCTCGAGTCGAGCTTGTGCAGTATGTTCTAGAAACAACCCTAGAAGGTCAAACTCTCTCGAAAGCACACTTATGCAGTAAGCTTTACTACCAGACTGAGCAGATGGATAGCGATCATGACCTCTTCCAGTATCATACTTGGAGACAATCTGATCTTGTTCAATAGAGTAACCGAAATGCCTGAACTCTTTCAAGTCATTCTTCATCAAATGAATGGCTACTTTACGCATATTCACATTGCTCCCATGTCTTTTCAGTCGATATATGACACATAGAACACCAACATCATCACAATATGGGTAGAACTAGGTCAAGCAAGGTAATACCAGTCGAATTGGATGTCGTCACTATTCATCCAGGCTTCCTGCTCCGTGTCGAGCTCGCGAAGTCTGGGGACGTCAAATTCATGTCCGGTCATCCGTTTATTTCACAAGGGAAATTGTGAATTTCGCGAAATTTTTTATGGAGAAAAACGCGACTTGGAGACGTGTAAAAATGCATACGTTCTAGCGTATGCTCCGTTGTGTAGGCAACTGTGTGTGCCACAATGTTGCTGGGTTGTACCAGCTCATCTCTTTTGATAATAAGAGTATCGATTAGGAGGAGGAGCGCTTACTTCGTATAGCGTGATCGATATATCCTCATAGTCTGTACGCAAGTACAAAGTTATAATTCCCTCTATCGGCTCCTGAAATGAGTTTCACTTCCCGATGGGAATTTCGCGTGAAAAACCGCGTTTTTGCGAAATTCACATGGCGTGATTCACGATATGCCCCGACTAGGGTAAAAAGACCAGCGAAAAACACGTATTACACAGATAAGAAGATGAAGCCGGAGAATCTCCGGCGGAGATTATGGAACAGCGTGCACAGTTGAAACCCTCAGGCAGCTCGCATTCCAGCACATCTGTGCCCAATCTGCCGCCTCCCACATTCGATCCGGCCAATTAATCCTGCCAAGTGTGATAATAGCTCTCATGTATTGAGTTATGCGTGTACCTGCCTTCAATTTTTCATATTCGCTTGTAGTGGCTTCGGTAGTGATGGTAGTGATCTCGATCTTAGTTTCCGTAGCACGCTTCATCTCTCTGATGAGAGTTACGATGAAACTCGTTCTAGCTTGTTCGAGGCGAATACAGTATATCACTATATCCTTCTCACCGCGATACGTGTATCGAGTTGTCAATCCAGTATTCCATATTTTGGACTACCCGTTCTGTGCTCTCTCGAAGATATACCGAGCTCTGCTGGCGTTGTGGCTTGCTGACATGTGACGGTTGTCTGGAACTCGGACCGGTCCAGGCTGCCGAACCTGTTGTTCGCATGATTCTCTTCCCAAATGACCGAGCGAGGAAATATGACATAGTAAAACTAGTTTGCGGGAAAGAACAATTCAAAAGCGTCCTCCCTAAATGAGGATGTTTATCATGCATGTTTTTGGGGAAGCTTAGTAGTGTTGGTCGGTGAATATCAGATTCGCGGCACCTACATGCCATATAGTATATGGCCAGCTGGTTATCAACCAGCAGCAAAGCACACTCCCACTGGTGTTTATACGTGGCCTCAGACGAAGAAAACTTGGCTATGCAATGGCTAAGTGAGCGCCAGGGATGCTCCTATGAAACGGTGGAGAGTCTCCACTGGAGACTGATTTTGGTCAATAATTGTACTGCATTGTTAGAGAGGACACCAGAGACGTGACTATATTCGGGCCATTATTTTCTCTTGATGCGGGTGCCTACCGAGCCTACTGTGAACGCGGCAGAGATAATTCTCGATCGCTCCTCTGAAGATCCCTTGAACACTACGATCAGGCATGAGCCAGTAATCGATGACTCAGTGGTATGATTCGAATCCGCATCTAATATTGCTCGGCATGATGAATGTATCATATGTTCATTGTTTCATCATTTGCTTCGGGCCCAAACATCTCGACCGCGAGCACGCATGGACCATCGCGATTACTCTCCCTATCGCCCTATGCCATACCCCGCCCATAGCGAGACTCCGAGCCATAACTCTCATGCTAGTGATGATCAAGAGTATGCGCGCATGAGGAGTCGCGCGGTTCAGGACTTGGAGCTCGTCACATCACGGTGTATCGAAATTTATGGACACTTTCCCCCTGAATGAGGCAGTCGGCATTACACTCATCATAAGCGGCTCGTATTCATCATTATGCTAGATGGTGGCTTCATTACTCACGACTGTATGTGCGTGTATGATGTGCCCCGGCAGACGCGTGGATTTGTACAGTCGCGGAGGTAGGATACACAGCACCATGCAAACAGTTGTTACCTGTTGTAACAGCTGTCATTACCTAGGGATGGATGCTTCGTATGGGGCCGTCAGCTGTTACGCAGTATGATAGTAGCCTCGATATTGTTAGGTATTACGCGCTACAGCTAACGCGATCCTCGTCGAGATCGTTTCATGCGGTGGTAGCGATGCGACTAACGCTCCCAATGCTGCTCCCAATGGACAGCTTTTACCACCTGGGTTGAGTCACAACCTCAACATCACCTCGAGTGCTAGCTGCAGGTTCCGTACTGCTAGAAGTCGCGTTAAAAATATGTACACTGTGGCCGATGCGACAAGATATTTCTAAACATGACCAGTTGGTGTGATGTGCGTATATGCCATGTGATATAATCCGAATGAAACTCCGATTTTTTTTGGTTTCAAAACATTTCTACCCGAATTATTAGCTCCTATAATCAGTGAGAAAACTCCTGGGGCCTATTTCACAAGCGTCCTAATGTTAGGATTTTAACCCATTAGGATGCAATTTAAGGATAAATGGCGTTCACAAGGGCCCTTTCCTTAGATTGGGTTAGG